ACTTAAATGTCCACAATTTTATTCAACAATAACGGCTTAAGTATGTATATCTAAGGCAAGGTACAATTCAACTTAAATGCTTTATTATGGCGACTAAATCACATTATATTTTTGTCAAAGGTGTAGGGTATTATATGGTCGGCCTCGCCCGACTATAATTTCTTACTTGTATTTTTTATTGTATATATATTTTTTTTAATCTTTTTGCGGTGGTTTTTTTTTTATATCGAAGGACCATGTATGAACGTACTGTTCGAATGAATGTTTGTAAGACATTAAGAGTTTATTTAAAATCAATGATCTTAATAGCTAAATACAAAAATCTTAAAACTAACTAGAACTATGATAAGACATCTTGTGCACATGTGTACTTTCAGTCTTATCAGTGTAATGTTTCTATCTTAGCATGGGGTAATAACTGCATCAGTGATATAATATATTTTATGCCTCATTATTAACTCTAACATATGGTTTATGCGTCACATAAACAACAGAATTAATGTGCATCTTAGAACTAAAGTTCTTATCACTGCTACGGGCTCGTCCTAAAAACAAAGCGATAATACATATTTATTTGTAGTACAAACAAACGTATATAATATTTTTTATGACCTAACCCATGCACTTGAACTTATAATTTATGATCTTTCTTATTTTACTTAAACAAAATTAAACATAAATAAATGCGTGTTCAATTCTGAACATTCTGCCGGGCCCGCAATGGCAATGGTGTAGAAAAATCTATCTTAACTACTTCTTTTGTTTACAACATTTGTTCTTCAGAACTAGACCAATAAATATAAATATAATTATAATAATTAAAATTAGAGATGTGTGTCCAGATAACATGTGAAAATGAAGCCGTTTTAGATCGATTTTGGTATCCTTTATATTAAGCACTTCCTTCATTAGATGGTTGATATCTTTGGCGTTATTTATAATTGTAACATCAAACGGTTTTACCAACTTAGCTTCTATTTGTCTGGATCTACACCCCATGTTGATACCTGAATATCTGAATTTACTTTAGATTCGAAGTGTCGAGAAGCTGACAGAGTTATTCCTTCATAAGTTGCTGTACATCCTTCTGCTAGTTTTAGTACAACCTTTTGTTGGTAAATTAACCCAGCTTCGATTATTTGGACCACAATCTACTGTTAATACTAGATTGTCGAATACTGTAAATATCCACTGATTTTCTGTAGAAAGCTGCTTCCACACACTTTTCCTTGGGACAGCTTCAAATTCACATTCAGCATGCCGGGATTGTTTTTAGCGCTGATACTTCACAAGACCGCTCTATGGCTGGCTTCCAGGGTATATTTCCAATAGAGTTGTACTGACCTTGAAGACTCTTCTCACACATATTTAATTTTGATTGTGACATTAGGAAGTACATATTAGTTGCGAAGTTATACACTATGAACTCATCCTTTACTCTTGGCATAACGGCGCTATTGTTAACGTCCACAGGAAGTGTAATTATTTCGTATACCTCAGAATTATGTTTCTGTATTAAAGGTATTTCTATCTGAACCACTAGTCGATCATCAATTATAGTACCCTTCGCCTTCATTCCATGATATACTTCTTTTAGTTCAGTACTAGTTGCCTTTCCAGGAAGAACTAAATTATTTGGCAACACAGTTTTCTATGTGTAATAGTTCTTTTTGTAGTTGGGATGGTGTAAGAAGGTCAGTATTTATATGACCGTGATTGATATCAATCAGCATATTTATTACAGAAGATTGTATCTTCTGACACTCATCAATTATTAAATTTAATTGGGTGGTCAATACGGAAACAGCAATGTTAAACGCTCTTCACTCGTTTCATTTTTCGTTTGATCGTATAATAACTTTAATTGGCCGTACATTTGTTTAAAGTTGTTATTGACATCTTCTGTTGTCTTTTTCAGTCATCTTGGTTACTGAAAATGTTTTTCATGTTTTCCTCCATCTGCTTTCGATCGTCTGCGTCCATCATTCCAAAGAGAATATGATAAATAGATCCTACGAACTCAAAGGGTGCTCTTTTCTTGCGGCTTTTATTTATTAGAAGTTCGTTATTTTGATCAAGTAACTTATATCTCCTTTCCATCACTGACATCACCATTTCACAGGAGTCCTTAAATAAATTTAATTTCGGACATTCTTCTCTTACTTTCCCCATCAGTTTACCAATCCTCTCCAGTTCTTGGTAATACAAGGATAAATCATAGTAAACTACTAGATTCCACTTCGAATTTATGGCGTTTAGTTGTCCAACCTTATCCAGATACAGTGCTGTATTTGCTGAAAGGATTGCTTATCGAGACTACGTTGTTCATGTTAATTGGTAGTGCTTTGACTGGGTTCATTATCATCAACATCATCAATATAAATTGTAACCAACATAGTTTTTTCTTTTCTGGCTTCGTCGTTGTTACACAGCTCATTGCTGGTGCTGAATTCTGTTCTTCTGTATCCGTAGATACTAATGGACACAATTTGCTAATAGGTCTTTTCAGCGAGCTATTTGCTAGTTTCAATGTTGCAACTCTTACTTTGCCATCTTTGCCGCTATGTACTTCTGTAATTCTCGCTAGCGGCCAACTTGCTGGATGAGTATTTTCATCCTTGATTAGTACTACTGTACCTTCTTTTAAATTCTCTGACGGAAACTTCCATTTGTTCCTTTGCTGTAGCGTAGTCAAATACTCCTGTTTCCATCTGACCCAAAAGTCTTTTCTTAGTTTCTGAATTAGTTTCCATCTATTTAGCGAATTAATATTTGCTTCTTCAACTAGTTCGGCACAGGCATTCAGGGGACGTCCTATTAAAAAGTGTCCCGGAGTTAAAGCATCAAATTGACCTGGCTCATCATTGTTTAGAGCTACTAGAGGTCTGGAATTCAATACTGCTTCAATTTGAATTAAAAGAGTACTCATTTCCTCATATGTAAGTTTGGCTTCACCGATTGTCCTTTTTAAATGATATTTAACTGACTTGACGCCAGCTTCCCAAATACCTCCAAAGTGAGGAGCTGCCGGGGGACTAAAATGCCACTGAATTTTCTGCATCGCCAATATAGGAATAATCGACTCATTATTCCGAACAGCAGCTTTAAAATCTTTATCTAATTTTTTATTTGCGCCAACAAAGTTCGTTCCATTATCTGAATAAATATCCGAACTAACACCTCTCCTTCCAAAAAATCTCTTTAATGCTGCTAAGAATGCTTCTGACGTCAGATCGCTAACTGCTTCTAGATGGATCGCTTTTGTCGTCATGCACACAAACACAGCTATATATCCTTTATAGGATTTTTGCCCTCTGCCTTTCGAAAATTTCATTTGAATAGGGCCAGCATAGTCTATACCAACATGTTGAAATGGAGCTGATATCGTTACGCGTGATTTTGGAAGATTGCCCATTAGTTGCTTCGCCTGATCTTGGCTATACCGAATACATCTAGGACATCTTCGCAAACATTTCCTTTATTGAATTTTTCATATCTAAGATCCAAAACCTACGCCTTAGTGCTGCTTCAACTATTCGGTTACCACCATGTAATGTTGAAATATGCGCCTTTTCTATCAACAACGATGTCAAATGGGACTTTCGCAATATTATAGGATGTTGTTGATTATATGGTAAATTTGAATTCTGCAATCTACCACCGACACGAATTATTCCATTCTTGTCTATAAAGGGAAATAAACTCGCTATTCTGCTGCATCTATTTACTACGCCAAATTTCTTTAATGCTGCCATCTCCTCTTGCAATTGTATTTCTTGATGACATCGTATAATTAATTCTTCAGCTTCTCCTAGTTCATTCACCTAAAGATATTGAGTGGCGTAAGATTTTTTGTGCAGCTTATTTTAAACCTTATAATAAATGCCACCACTCTTTGCAGTTTCGAAAAACTCGAAAATTTATTCGTAAGATTTATTATCAGAGAATCTTTATTTGAAGTTGTAGATATCATCACCTTTACCGTTTCTGCTTCTTTTTAGGCCAGAACTCAGACGCCAATTTTAACCATTCTGGACCATTCCACCACATCATATGTGCCTTTAGTTTTAAAGCACTTATTCCACGGGATGCTACGTCTGCAGGATTATCTTTGCTGCTCACATGTCTCCACTTAGCGTCTGGAATCATATTTATTATTTCAGCAACACGATTTCTAACGAATTTGTCCTTGTTGGTTTTGTTTGCTATCCAGGCCAATGTAATTGTTGAATCGCTCCAGGCATACACCACATGTTGTCTATTAATTGTAGCTGAAACTTTATTCAAGTAGTTTTGCTAACAGATGCCCAGCACACAGCTCTAGCTTCGGTAAAGTTTTCCTATTTTTTATTGGATTTACTTTGGTTTTTGCAGCAACAAGTGTTATTGACTTTCCAAGTTTTAAATAAACTACTGCTGCATGCGCTTTTTCTGATGCGTCCGCAAAAGCATGTAGCTCGAACTTGTCAGATATGTTTATCTGTAACCATCTTGGTACACGAATTTCTTGTATTTCGGGCAGATCTGTTGTAAACTGCTGCCATTCTTCCCTTAATTGAGCTGGTAATTCTTCGTCCCATGTACATTGTAATAGCCATAATTTCTGTACGAATAATTTTGCGACTACTGTTACTGGAGACAACCATCCTAATGGATCGAAGATTTTAGCTACTTCGGATAGTGCACGTCTTTTGGTTAATTCGCCATTTAGTGAAAAGTTTATGTTGAACTTGAATTGATCTAATACTGGATCCCACTGCAACCCCAACGTTTTTATGGATTCGTCATCTTCAATTTGAATCACAGCATTATTTGTAGAATTGCTGATGTCATCAATTATATTTAAGTTATTTGATAACCACTTTCTTAAATTGAAGCCGTATTTTTCAAGTTGCCTCATAGTCTCTCTCATAGTCTCTTGGACCGGTACATGATGTCATTTAGGCTTCTTCCATTTGATGTCTTCGCGGATGCGTCGAATACTACTCTCAATTTTGTAGTCAGACTGCTTTCTCTAATACCGCCTGATGAGGTAAATAATATTTGCCGCTGTTTGTTACCATTACCTCTTCCATATGACCAAGCTGTATGTACTCGTTCATAAATTTATGGTAGTCTTCCTTCAGCTTCAGATTTGACTCCAGCTTTCTTTCTAGTGAAAGAAGTCTGGCTATCGCTTGCTTCTTAGAGTCTCCAAGTTCGTTTTCTTCCTTCTTTATTGGCAGATTAACTATAATCCTGTTGTCGTTGCCAACTTCGGTTGTTTCATTAAAAAGGTTTAAACATATCTTGTCTTCTTCGTAGTCTTCGGAAAAGTTTTGTAGTTCTTCCAGCTCCCAAAAACGCTCCAAATTTGTAACTGCAGATAAAACCTTTCTAGGATTCGTCTTCTTATTCACCAAGCCTGATAAAATCCACCCAAATATTGTGGATTGCGCCAAAATACCATCTTTTTTGTATATTCCATCCTCAATTATATTTGTTATAATATTCATCCCAATCACGATGTCAATCCTATCCGATTTATTTAGTGATGGATCAGCTAATACAAAGTTGTTCCATTCGTCAATATTGAATTTAAACGAATGATCTGGTTGTGCTCCCGTCAGTTGTGGTAAAATCAGCGCCTCTGTTTCTATGGATTGGTCGCTTAAAAATCGTGGTTTCATTGTTAATTTTATTTTCGATTTTGAAAATCCAACCACTACTCCTCCAAGACCATGTATTTCGGTTTTGCATTTAATTCGAGGAAGCGCTAATATTTGCGAAGCTTCTTCTGATAATGTTGTCACTTGGGAACAATGATCAATTAATGCTCGTAGCATTATATATTCGCCATGCAGGGACTTTACCTTCACTTGTGCTGTAGCAAGTAACACATTTGCTGGTGAATGTGTACTCATTGAACTAGCAGTGTTATTTGCTGCTGTTGATTTTACAAAATTTATATGTAAAAGTGTATTATGCATTCTTCCACATACTTGGCATTTTGTTTTATCCATCCTATGGTTTAGGCAAATATTACAAATTTTTGTTTGTCGAACCCAGGTATTCCGGTTTTCTACCGTTAATGCAGTGAAATTTTTGCAATCACGGATTTTATGGCCGCTTCTTCTACAGTAGTTGCAGTAACTGCTCTCTGTAGAGAACACCGTTGCTCGATAATGATGTTTTTTATTTCCATCTATATTGTTGTGTTTCGTTGTTGTAGACGCCTCCAATGCTTCACATTGCAATTCAATAAACTGCATCACATCTTTGAGAATTTGAATATCTTTTGATTTCCGTGTGCTTTGTTCATATAAAATCAGCCCTTCTTTATCGAGCTTTCTAATTATTATTCTTGCTATTATTGGATCAGCACCTTCCAAATTAACTCCCATCGCTTTTAATGCTTGCATGCTTTCGTTTGTAATACTCAGCAAGTTTCTTAAGCTGCTGCCCGACATTATGTTGGTACTGGGCTGATCTAATATTTTATCCACTAATTTCGTGAACAAAATCCTTTTATTACCAAATCTTTGGTTTAAAATCTCCCAGGCAGCTTCATAATTGTTTTCCGTTATCGGAAGGTTTTGTATAATTTTCAGAGCTTCTCCTCTGACGTGAGTTTTTAACCTCACTAGCTTCTCCACAGCTGGAAGTTTACTCATATGCACAAACCTGTTGAACATATTTTGGAACGAGCACCACTCTTCCATATCTCCACTAAATATTGGTATTTTTATTGTTTCCAATACCACCGCTTTTTTCTCTTCTTGCATTGTGGAAATTTTTATTAGTATTTCCTTTAATGCTTCTCCATATAGCTTGTCAATCAACTCCAGCTCTTCATCAATATCATCTTTTACGGAGTGATTGACCACTAATTCACGGTGGATTTGTTTTATATCCACCATGATTTTTTCCCAAGAGCTTTTTTTGTGCTCGAGTATTAGAATGTTTTCTGCTTCAATGTCAGATAAATATTCTTCTAATTTTTGAATTTCTCTACGAAATTGAATGAGCAAGTTGGACGTCACTTCCTCTTCTTTTCTTATGCCGGCTTCATCATGGGTTTTTACCTTCTCTTCTTTGGAAGTATTTTCTTCCTCTCCTGGAGCATTCTCTGGCTCTCTTGGAATATTCTCTGGCTCTCTTGGAGCATTCTCTGGCTCTCTTGGAGCTCTTTCTAACTCTTTTTTAGAGTTTTCCGCAAGGTTAGGGTTTTAACTGATGCAACAATTCTTGCATCATAAATCTCACCTGCTCCATCACCTCATCTTTTATAGAAATCCTAATTGATTCTAATGATTTCTGATGGCTGGATTCCATTTGGCTTTCTTCTAAGTTTTCTGCTTTTTTGGGCGCCAATATAGCTTCTGCAGAAGTTTGGCCATACTTCTGCATCGCAGTTCTGCACAGTTTAATAAGATCAATCCCATTTTGGAAGAACTTATTATTAAAATAGACCTCTGATGTCTCTCCAAGCTTATTGAGAACAGTGTCGTTCTCATAAAATTGTCTTTCTAAGCTATCGATGCGGTTTTGATATTGTGCAATTGATGCACTACGTATCTCTGTGCGTTCAATCTTCGCCAAAATTGCAGTCAACTGATCTGTGATCTGCTTTTGAGATTCGTATAAATTTTGTCTCTGAGCCATTTTTAATGTTTTTTTTTATTATTTTTTTTTTTTTTATTTAAGTCGAATTTTTCTTTTTAAATTTTTATTTATATTTTTTTAATGGTTATATATTTTTTTTAATCTTTTTGCGGTGGTTTTTTTTTATATCGAAGGACCATGTATGAACGTACTGTTCGAATGAATGTTTGTAAGACATTAAGAGTTTATTTAAAATCAATGATCTTAATAGCTAAATACAAAAATCTTAAAACTAACTAGAACTATGATAAGACATCTTGTGCACATGTGTACTTTCAGTCTTATCAGTGTAATGTTTCTATCTTAGCATGGGGTAATAACTGCATCAGTGATATAAATATATTTTATGCCTCATTATTAACTCTAACATATGGTTTATGCGTCACATAAACAACAGAATTAATGTGCATCTTAGAACTAAAGTTCTTATCACTGCTACGGCTCGTCCTAAAAACAAAGCGATAATACATATTTATTTGTAGTACAAACAAACGTATATAATATTTTTTATGACCTAACCCATGCACTTGAACTTATAATTTATGATCTTTCTTATTTTACTTAAACAAAATTAAACATAAATAAATGCGTGTTCAATTCTGAACATTCTGCCGGGCCCGCAATGGCAATGGTGTAGAAAAATCTATCTTAACTACTTCTTTTTGTTTACAACATTTGTTCTTCAGAACTAGACCAATAAATATAAATATAATTATAATAATTAAAATTAGAGATGTGTGTCCAGATAACATGTGAAAATGAAGCCGTTTTAGATCGATTTTGGTATCCTTTATATTAAGCACTTCCTTCATTAGATGGTTGATATCTTTGGCGTTATTTATAATTGTAACATCAAACGGTTTTACCAACTTAGCTTCTATTTTGTCTGGATCTACACCCCATGTTGATACCTGAATATCTGAATTTACTTTAGATTCGAAGTGTCGAGAAGCTGACAGAGTTATTCCTTCATAAGTTGCTGTACATCCTTCTGCTAGTTTTAGTACACCTTTTGTTGGTAAATTAACCCAGCTTCGATTATTTGGACCACAATCTACTGTTAATACTAGATTGTCGAATACTGTAAATATCCACTGATTTTCTGTAGAAAGCTGCTTTCACACACTTTTCCTTGGGACAGCTTCAAATTCACATTCAGCATGCCGGGATTGTTTTAGCGCTGATACTTGACAAGACCGCTCTATGGCTGGCTTCCAGGGTATATTTCCAATAGAGTTGTACTGACCTTGAAGACTCTTCTCACACATATTTAATTTTGATTGTGACATTAGGAAGTACATATTAGATGCGAAGTAATACACTATGAACTCATCCTTTACTCTTGGCATAACGGCGCTATTGTTAACGTCCACAGGAAGTGTAATTATTTCGTATACCTCAGAATTATGTTTCTGTATTAAAGGTATTTCTATCTGAACCACTAGTCGATCATCAATTATAGTACCCTTCGCCTTCATTCCATGATATACTTCTTTTAGTTCAGTACTAGATGCCTTTCCAGGAAGAACTAAATTATTTGGCAACACGTTTTCTATGTGTAATAGTTCTTTTTGTAGTTGGGATGGAGTAAGAAGGTCAGTATTTATATGACCGTGATTGATATCAATCAGCATATTTATTACAGAAGATTGTATCTTCTGACACTCATCAATCATTAAATTTAATTGGGTGGTCAATACGGAAAACAGCAATGTTAAACGCTCTTCACTCGTTTCATTTTTCGTTTGATCGTAGAATAACTTTAATTGGCCGTACATTTGTTTAAAGTTGTTATTGACATCTTCTGTTGTCTTTTTCAGCACATTTACTGTCGAATCAATAACGGAAGTTTGTTGTTTTATTAATTTATTTAAGTCATCTTGGTTACTGAAATGTTTTTCATGTTTTCCTCCATCTGCTTTCGATCGTCTGCGTCCATCATTCCAAAGAGAATATGATAAATAGATCCTACGAACTCAAAGGGTGCTCTTTTCTTGCGGCTTTTATTTATTAGAAGTTCGTTATTTTGATCAAGTAACTTATATCTCCTTTCCATCACTGACATCACCATTTCACAGGAGTCCTTAAATAAATTTAATTTCGGACATTCTTCTCTTACTTTCCCCATCAGTTTACCAATCCTCTCCAGTTCTTGGTAATACAAGGATAAATCATAGTAAACTACTAGATTCCACTTCGAATTTATGGCGTTTAGTTGTCCAACCTTATCCAGATACAGTGCTGTATTTGCTGAAAGGTTGCTTATCGAGACTACGTTGTTCATGTTAATTGGTAGTGCTTTGACTGGGTTCATTATCATCAACATCATCAATATAAATTGTAACCAACATAGTTTTTTCTTTTCTGGCTTAGTCGTTGTTACACAGCTCATTGCTGGTGCTGAATTCTGTTCTTCTGTATCCGTAGATACTAATGGACACAATTTGCTAATAGGTCTTTTCAGCGAGCTATTTGCTAGTTTCAATGTTGCAACTCTTACTTTGCCATCTTTGCCGCTATGTACTTCTGTAATTCTCGCTAGCGGCCAACTTGCTGGATGAGTATTTTCATCCTTGATTAGTACTACTGTACCTTCTTTTAAATTCTCTGACGGAAACTTCCATTTGTTCCTTTGCTGTAGCGTAGTCAAATACTCCTGTTTCCATCTGACCCAAAAGTCTTTTCTTAGTTTCTGAATTAGTTTCCATCTATTTAGCGAATTAATATTTGCTTCTTCAACTAGTTCGGCACAGGCATTCAGGGGACGTCCTATTAAAAAGTGTCCCGGAGTTAAAGCATCAAATTGACCTGGCTCATCATTGTTTAGAGCTACTAGAGGTCTGGAATTCAATACTGCTTCAATTTGAATTAAAAGAGTACTCATTTCCTCATATGTAAGTTTGGCTTCACCGATTGTCCTTTTTAAATGATATTTAACTGACTTGACGCCAGCTTCCCAAATACCTCCAAAGTGAGGAGCTGCCGGGGGACTAAAATGCCACTGAATTTTCTGCATCGCCAATATAGGAATAATCGACTCATTATTCCGAACAGCAGCTTTAAAATCTTTATCTAATTTTTTATTTGCGCCAACAAAGTTCGTTCCATTATCTGAATAAATATCCGAACTAACACCTCTCCTTCCAAAAATCTCTTTAATGCTGCTAAGAATGCTTCTGACGTCAGATCGCTAACTGCTTCTAGATGGATCGCTTTTGTCGTCATGCACACAAACACAGCTATATATCCTTTATAGGATTTTTGCCCTCTGCCTTTCGAAAATTTCATTTGAATAGGGCCAGCATAGTCTATACCAACATGTTGAAATGGAGCTGATATCGTTACGCGTGATTTTGGAAGATTGCCCATTAGTTGCTTCGCCTGATCTTGGCTATACCGAATACATCTAGGACATCTTCGCAAACATTTCTTTATTGAATTTTTCATATCTAAGATCCAAAACCTACGCCTTAGTGCTGCTTCAACTATTCGGTTACCACCATGTAATGTTGAAATATGCGCCTTTTTCTATCAACAACGATGTCAAATGGGACTTTCGCAATATTATAGGATGTTGTTGATTATATGGTAAATTTGAATTCTGCAATCTACCACCGACACGAATTATTCCATTCTTGTCTATAAAGGGAAATAAACTCGCTATTCTGCTGCATCTATTTACTACGCCAAATTTCTTTAATGCTGCCATCTCCTCTTGCAATTGTATTTCTTGATGACATCGTATAATTAATTCTTCAGCTTCTCCTAGTTCATTCACCTAAAGATATTGAGTGGCGTAAGATTTTTTGTGCAGCTTATTTTTAAACCTTATAATAAATGCCACCACTCTTTGCAGTTTCGAAAAACTCGAAAATTTATTCGTAAGATTTATTATCAGAGAATCTTTATTTGAAGTTGTAGATATCATCACCTTTACCGTTTTCTGCTTCTTTTTAGGCCAGAACTCAGACGCCAATTTTAACCATTCTGGACCATTCCACCACATCATATGTGCCTTTAGTTTTAAAGCACTTATTCCACGGGATGCTACGTCTGCAGGATTATCTTTGCTGCTCACATGTCTCCACTTAGCGTCTGGAATCATATTTATTATTTCAGCAACACGATTTCTAACGAATTTGTCCTTGTTGGTTTTGTTTGCTATCCAGGCCAATGTAATTGTTGAATCGCTCCAGGCATACACCACATGTTGTCTATTAATTGTAGCTCTCTCAATTTTGTAGTCAGACTGCTTTCTCTAATTACCGCCTGATGAGGTAAATAATATTTGCCGCTGTTTGTTACCATTACCTCTTCCATATGACCAAGCTGCATGTACTCGTTCATAAATTTATGGTAGTCTTCCTTCAGCTTCAGATTTGACTCCAGCTTTCTTTCTAGTGAAAGAAGTCTGGCTATCGCTTGCTTCTTAGAGTCTCCAAGTTCGTTTTCTTCCTTCTTTATTGGCAGATTAACTATAATCCTGTTGTCGTTGCCAACTTCGGTTGTTTCATTAAAAAGGTTTAAACATATCTTGTCTTCTTCGTAGTCTTCGGAAAAGTTTTGTAGTTCTTCCAGCTCCCAAAAACGCTCCAAATTGTAACTGCAGATAAAACCTTTCTAGGATTCGTCTTCTTATTCACCAAGCCTGATAAAATCTACCCAAATATTGTGGATTGCGCCAAAATACCATCTTTTTATACCCTCCACCACCATCAGTGGTGATAGAGGGTATATATAAGTTTGTCATTCCGTGTGTAACACCAAGAAATATTCGTCTGAGACCCAACAAAGTATATATATTTTGGGTCCCTATGAAATTCTGAGTCGATTTAGCTATGTCCGTCTGTCCGTCTGTCTGTCTGTCTGTCTGTCTGTCTGGTTAAAACACGCTCACGTTAAAACTAAGCAAAAGAAATCAGCCAAATTCACTAAGAATATTCATTATTGTCCTAAGCAGTTTGGTATTGAAAATCAGCAAAATCGGTTCACAACGTAAAAAGTTATAAGTAAAAATTTCAGACTACCTCGAAAAAAATTACGGTTTTTTCATAATTCTTTTGAAGTTTTCTCAGAAACTACCAAAGATATTTCGATGAATTTTGTCACACATTATTTTTCAGGGCAGTAATCAATTATGTTTAAAATCTTTACAATCGATCCAATATTTCCCATAGCCCCTATACAAAGGTATATATTCCCGGAAATTAGTTTATCGTTAATAACTCCCTCAAATATATCGGTATCAACACAAAATTTTGTACATGCAAATATAATATGAACAGAAATCATACTATCAACGCAGATCTCAGTCGGTCCACCATTGGTCATAGCTCTCATATAAGGTCCACTTCCGAAAATCACCTAAACGCACATATTTCTTTGATGAGTAAAGCTATTGCGATAAAAGTCGAACTAAATATGTTTTGTATACATACAAATCATTCTACCAAATTTTTTACGGATCGGTCCATTATTGGTCATAGCTCCCATATAAGGCCCACTTCCGAAAATCATTTAAAAGCTCATATATCATTGTCAAACAAGCTATCTTGATAAAATTCGACACAAATATGTTTAGTCTAAATATGAATCACTCTACGAAATTTTTTCCGGATAGGCCAATAATTGGTCATAGCTCCCATATAAAGTCCACTTCCGAAAATCACTTAAACGCATATATTTCAATGAAATATAAAGCTATTGGGATAAAATTCGACACAAATATATTTTGTATACAAACAAATCATTTTAAAATTTTTTTTACGGATCGGTCCATTATTGGTCATAGCTCCCATATAAGGCCCACTTCCGAAAATCACTTAAAAACACATATTTCATTGTCAAATAAAGCTATCGTGATAAAATTCGACATAAATAGATTTTGTCTAAATATGAATTACTCTACTAATTTTTTTCCGAATAGGCCCATAATTGGTCATAGCTCCCATATAAGGTCCACTTCCGAAAATCTCTTAAACGCATATATTTCATTGAATTCTAAAGTTATCGGGATAAAATTCGACAAAAATATGTTTTGTGTACATTAAAATCATTCCACCAAATTTTTTACGGATCGGTTCATTATTGGTCATAGGTCCCATATAAGGCCCACTTCCGAAAATCACTTAAAAGCACATATTTCATTGTCAAATAAAGCTATCTTCATAAAATTCGACACAAATATGTTTTGTCTTTATATGAGTCACTCTACGAAATTTTTTCCGGATAGACTCATAATAGGTCATAGCTCCCATATAAGGTCCACTTCCGAAAATCAATTAAACGAATATATTTCATTAAATTCTAAAGCTATAAGGATAAAATTCGACTTGAATATGTAATGTGTACATATAAATCATTCTACCACTTTTTCCCCGGATCGGTCCATTATTGGTGATAGCTCCCATATAAGTCCCACTTCCGAAAATTACTTAATCGCACATATTTCATTGTTAAATAAAGTTATCTTGATAAAATTCGACACAAATATGTATTGTCTTTATATGAATCACTCTACGAAATTTTTTCCGGATAGGCTCCCATAGAGGGTCCACATACGAAAATCACTTAAACGCATATATTTCTTTGAATAATAAGGCTATCGGGATGAAGTACGACTTGAATATGTTTTGTGAGCATATAAATCATTCTACCAAATTTTTTCCGGATTGACCCACATATTGTAGTAGCCTAATAAGGTCCACTTCAAAAAAATCTCTTAAACGCACATATTTCATTATCAAATAAAGGTATCTTGATAAAATTCGACACAAATATGTTTTGTGTAAGGTCATAGCTCCTATACATATAAAGTCCACTTCCGAAAATCACCTAAACGCAAATATTTCATTAATTAATAAATCTATTGTAGTAATCATTATACTAAATCATTATACTAAATTTTTTCTTTATCGGTTGATAATTGGTCACAACTCCCATATAATTTTCATTTCCGAAAATTACTCAAATGCACTTGATAATCAAAGTTATCGGGATAAAATTCGACATAAATGTTTATTTTGTATATATAAATCATTCTACGGATTTTTTTCTTCCGGATCGGTCCATAGGTTGTCTTAGCTCCCATATAAGGTATACTTCTGAAAATCACTTAATATCACTTAATTCGTAATTAAATGATTATATCCGGATAAAATTCAAAATGAGTATGTTCTGTGTACAGATATATCATTATATTAAAATGTTTTCAAACTGGCCTATTAATATACATTTTTCTCGACCTAATTAAAATTAGTTTGACATATGCATAAATGTTAGTACCCTCAATAAGGAAACAAAAATTATCTAAAAATTAGATACTTAAATGGGTCTCAATGAAAAGTAGCTTGCTGGTGGAGGGTATTTAAGATTCGGCAGAGCCGAATATAGCACTCTAACTTGTTTGTATATTCCATCCTCAATTATATTTGTTATAATATTCATCCCAATCACGATGTCAATCCTATCCGATTAATTTAGTGATGGATCAGCTAATACAAAGTTGTTCCATTCGTCAATATTGAATTTAAACGAATGATCTGGTTGTGCTCCCGTCAGTTGTGGTAAAATCAGCGCCTCTGTTTCTATGGATTGGTCGCTTAAAAATCGTGGTTTCATTGTTAATTTTATTTTCGATTTTGAAAATCCAACCACTACTCCTCCAAGACCATGTATTTCGGTTTTGCATTTAATTCGAGGAAGCGCTAATATTTTCGAAGCTTCTTCTGATAATGTTGTCACTTGGGAACAATGATCAATTAATGCTCGTAGCATTATATATTCGCCATGCAGGGACTTTACCTTCACTTGTGCTGTAGCAAGTAACACATTTGCTGGTGAATGTGTACTCATTGAACTAGCAGTGTTATTTGCTGCTGTTGATTTTACAAAATTTATATGTAAAAGTGTATTATGCATTCTTCCACATACTTGGCATTTTGTTTTTGCAAAGCATCTTCTATACATCCTATGGTTTAGGCAAATATTACAAATTTTTGTTTGTCGAACCCAGGA